GAAGCGGTTGGAGACACCGTGCTGGCTGTCGAGCTCGATGGCGCGCTGCAGGGCGGCATCACCGACGACATATCCTTGAGCAAGGTACTCGGCAAAGATGCGAGAACGAGGCTTCTCTTCTTGTGTGATGTCGTCCGAGTCGCGGTCGGCGTTCTCCTTGTGGTGAGGAGCATCATCGGTAGGGTCGCCACCAGCGCTGGTGACGGTGATGTGAGAGGTACCGAGCTGAGTGTTGTTCAGGAGAAGAGCCGTCTTGGCAGCAGTCTCCTTCTCGAAAGTGACGGCAGCATCCTTGGTCTCGCCGGCGGGAGTAACCTCAATGTTGGTGATCTTGCCGCTGCAAAATGTCAGCAGTTGTTCAATTGGAGCTGCGGTAAAAACAGGGGTGGGTATCAGGCCATGGAAGAGCCGACAGGATTGAACTTACCAGAAACTAAAGAAGTCCTTGATCTCCTTGTCCTCAGTCGCCGAAGCGATGTTCTTGACGTGAACGGTGGTGTTTGACATGATTGCGGTTGTTTGGCGTTTGAAGTTATTGAGAGTGTTGTGAGAAGTGTTGTAGGAGGGAGTTTTGTGAGGGGTAACTGGAGACTGGATGGGGTATCAAGGGCGGTTATGTACGTTGTCTCTCAAGTTGGAGTGGTATCTGGGGAAAAGCAGAAAATGAACCGAGCAGGAAGAACGTGGCTCGAAATCGTATGGATGATGGGTTTTATGTAAAAACTGGACGTGTCTGGATGGGAATGTTGGAGGCGAGTACCTACGATGATCAGACGAAGGGTCATGAGAACGCGCTTTACCTTTTAGCCAAGGCAGGCAACGAAAGAGCAGCCATCCACGTCCTGACATGCCAGCCCAGACTCAGGGACAGAAGGGGCGGCCTCCAGCTGGTGACGATGCTGGGCACCACAAAGAGCAGGGACCCTGTTGAGAGAGAGAAAGAGGGGCTACCCGGTGGTAGCTGCCCTGTCTGGCTGGGCATCGAGGAAGCAAGTGTAGGAGTGAGAGCGGCAAGGAAGGAGCAGGGGCCAGTCTGGGCCCAGTGCCAGCTTCCATCATCAGAGGGGGAAAGTGGACCAGGAGGGGGCGAGGTCCAAACGTCATCGCCTGCGGATTTGAAGAGCTCGTGCCAGGAGTGGGGAGAACTGTGGCTGTGCTCGAACCAGCAGCATGGAAGGAAGCCCCGCTAACAGAGCCACACTCCAGCCACGTATCTCTCCCACCCAATCTTGCAGCTGAGATACCTTCACATGCTTCTTCTCCAATCATCCCATCTACTGGAAGGCTCCAGAACATCAGACGACCCTGACAGCCTCCCTTCATCCCATTCTGAGCGACACAGATTCCCCAACGAAAACACAAAGGGACTATGGTAGATGACGCTCTTCGGTACGGATACGACGCGACTGCTTTGAGGACACACTGCGACACTCCCATCCAGTTGTGTTGCGACGCGACGACAGGGCGACGCGGCTCGTGGCTGGCACTTCACATCTTCGCATCTCAGCATGCATGGAAGAACTCAGAACTTTCTCATACTCGATACCCCGCGCAACATCGTCTCATCTAACTACCCTGGCTTACCACCATCATCCCTTGTGGCTCTGACGTTCCTAGACCTCCCAGCATCACATCTGACGCCTTCTGGCTAATGATAAAGGTCGCCACGGCAGGGAATGCTCCGGGAGCCCGCGGGAACACGCTCGCGTCGACAACCCTGAGCCCGTCCACGCCAAACACCCGAAACTCGGAATCCACCACCGCCATGCCATCATCAGCCGCACCCATCTTGCACGTCCCTGTAGGATGATGCCCAAAAGTCTGCTCCCGGATCCAATCCTTATCCGACTCCGGGTTCGCATCGCCGCAGCGGCCATTACTCTCGACTTGCGCACACGGAGGTTCGGCCGGATCCACAGGACCCCACGGACCTTGGACGTCCCGCATGCTCCGTCGGCCCCACGCCACTACCTCCGCTAGTGCTTCAAGGTCCGTCTCGGCGCCTTCCTTGTACAGTTCAAAGTTGATCTGCGGCGGTTCCGTCGGGTCTGCGGACCGAATCTTGATGTATCCGGCTGTGTTCTGCGGATGCATCTTGACTGTTGAGAAGCCAACGGTATTCGGCGGATCGAGGAGCTCCGGCTGCTGCACCTCGGGCCAGAACCCGCGGAACGCCCTTGGCCAGCTGAAGACGAAGACATCTCGCTCTCCGGTCAGCGAAAAGTTGGACTTTAGAAGCAACGCGTTCGAGTTGTATCCTGGCCGCATGTACGGGCCCTTTCCCTGTCGCCACAGCTCTTCACATGGGTCTCCGGGGCTTCCTTTGGCGCAGATTGGCTCGTTGGGATTTGGAGTAGCCGTGAGGTTAAGTTGAGCGTGGCCCACAACCGGGAATTCTTGGTTGTCTTGGAGGTTTCGCCCCACGCCCGGCAAGTCTGCCACGACCTCGATGTCGAGAGCTTCAAGGTCCGTTTTGTTTCCGATGCCGCTGAGCTGTAGTAGCTGGGGCGAGTTGAAAGCACCGCCTGCAACGATGACCTCCCGAGATGCCATTACTCGTCTTGTCTCGCCTGTCGTTGACGCGTTTCGCCGCACGTCGGCACCGTACGTGTAATTGCCCGCCAAGTACTCAACGCCCACGGCCCTAGGCTTTCCACCCTCCGTCTCTTCAAATAGGACTTTCGTGGCCAGAGAATTCGTCGACAAGGTTAGGGGCCACTTAGGAGAGCCATCTGCGTTCTTGGCTGCCAGCGTCTCATAGATGTACGTGCGAGAGCTGTACCGCTCCCACTTATCCGTGGCATGAAACGACAGCCCCCACATGCCCTCCGTCGTGTCTCTATCATCGCTGAGGAAGTTCCCGTCGCTGCCCACCATCTCGATGAGCTTCACCGGGTCTTTCCCAATAGACCGCAAGTGCGACTTGAGAATGTCCATGAGACCAGGGTTATTGAGATACTGTGACCCATTGCCTAGATTCGTGTTAAAGTAGCCGTCGAACCCGTGACCCGGCGTGCCCTCAGGGAGATAGTTGTTCTTCTCGATCCTCTCAAAGATTTGACGAATGTTCTTGTGGCTTTCCCCATGCTTAAGTTAGCTATTCCTGTCCAGAATTCTTAAGATGCCTTCACGATCACGGAATCAAAACTCACTTCCATGAATCATCCCCCGTGACATTCTGCACAAAATCCCAATCCGAGTCATTAGGCAACCACGTCGCCATCGCATTCGTCACGCTCGATCCTCCCACGGTCGCGCCGCGCGGGTACCACACCCCCAACAACTCTGCCCCCTTTGGCGCCCTCGCCGCGTTGCCGACCCAGTACGGTCCGATACCAGTTTCATTCTGCGAGGGCAGCCGCCACGTGAGGTGGTTATTCCGCAGCTCGACCTCATCATCCGCGTGATGCCGTACGAAAAAGGACCAGCTGTTGCTCGGGGTGATGAAGTACCCGCCGTTGGCGATGACGGTGCGGATGTCGTCGCGCTCGTCGTCGCCTGCTTCGAGGAGGAGGGTTGGGTGGCCTGCGCGGGCGAGGTTGCAGGCTAGGGGGCCGCCTCCTGGGCCGGAGCCGATTACGATGTAGGTGTAGGTTGAGGTTTCGTTTGGGGCGGGTTGGGCTGTGGTCGTGAGAGGGAGGTTGAGGAGAAGCAGGAGGAGGAAGGTTGTGAACGCTGTGATTGTGGAGAGGACCATGATGTGTAAGGCAGGTTGATGCTCCTGGAATAGTACTGGAGATCGTGAAGAGGAGTCTTTGAGGTGGGGTGTGAAATTATGAACACTGAACTGATGCATCCGACCTTAAATAGCCATGATTCTCCCACATGTCCTTTGCCGTCCTCTTGCCCTACTTTCAGAAGTTTTCCATGACGCCTCTGTAGATCGTGGCTCCCCTGTCTCGCTTAGACATCTCCCCCGCATGAGGAAGAGCTCCCCAAAGCCCGATCTCCATCCCGATAAGCTTACCGGTGCCTTGGCGGGTGCAACCGTTGCAACGACAAGGTGTCGATGCAGCTTATGGTCGACGCGGGGTTCAACCCCGATTGGGATTTACGAGGCGCGATGTTCCTCTCCCTGCAGATGGTAACGACGGGTTCTTTTTCTTCCCGAACGGCTTTCATAAAAGACACGTTACTCTCAATGTCTGGCTTCCTTTTGCCGATGGTAGTAGTAATGTTTTGTCACATAGAACTGCTCCCTTACTCAGCCTCGAGTAAACTGATGGAAAGGCCATTCAATTGGGGCGACAGAATTCCAGGGGAGCCAATGGCATTATCTACCTCCTATGCTACCAGGGCCGTCGTCTTTGCAACTATAGGTATCCAATTATGATATGGAGAACGGGAATCGACCATCTTCACGACATAAAGTAGGCCAGATGACTAATACTCTTTCGACTTCATCACGCGAAGGTACGACCTTGATAGTGGTGATCGCGCCTTCCAGGTTCCCTCCCGAGCCCTCGTCAACCGCACCTTCCATCTGAACGCACGAGAAGGGTATATGCCCCCCCTCAAGTCCAATTCCGTCACCAGCCAGCAGGCGCCCCCTTGGGGGTCAGGTCAAAACTGGCTGGTTGGTGGAGTGGTTGAAGTCCACGAACAGCCTAATCGGTGAAGGCGAAGAGGTCCCGTGTTCGAGTCCCAGCATGTGCGCCAGAGATGTAGCCCCCAGCTCGCCACCGGGGGGGTGAACTCTTTTGTTTCTGTGTTTTTTGGAAGGCATCTAGACATGGTAGTTAGAATCATGATGTATTGTGCTGCACTATCTCACTTCTGAGAGGCTACAGCCTGCATTTCTAGATATCAGTCAATGACACTTGGTTTTGGTTGCAGAATATCGACTTTATATGCCGTACTACATGATGGGAGACATTTCAATCTGGGGCCGAGTAACCTCTTTCAAAGAATGAGACGAGAACCGTTAACGTTAACGACAAGAGGCAGTTGTCAAACGCAGGCGAGCACAAGAAGAAGCGCCTTATGGAAATCGTCGAGGGATGGAACAGCGGCTGTTTTTGAGAAGCGCGGCCTCAAGGTTGTGCTCAATGGGCAGGATGATGCTGCCGCCCCTGCCGCTGTCTCTTCTACTGACGGCTCGCGGTTCAGCTTTGGTCCCACGAAGTCTGGGGTCCGGCTTGGCGGAGGGATGTTTGGTGTGGATTTGTCGTCTAAGAAATAATCTTCTGAGAAGTAGTCGACTGCACTTGTTTTCGATGAGCCCCCATTGTAGTTGAAGATCGAGAAGGGAGGGTTTTATATAGAGTGGGGAAGGTCAAGCTGCGGCATCATAATACGGTTGCAGAGTGAAAGAATGGCAATAATTGCATATCTTGTTGAGCACATTTCGGCCATTGGAAAATTCTTATTGGAGCCGAAACACTTTGCCAAAGCCCAACGTGCAAACGTGGGAATGAGCAGATCAACGTGCACATCCAATAAAAATATCTTCACGCTTCTTACCCGAACCAGAGATTCGCAAGGTAGACTTTGGCATATTGGATCATGGAGACTTTGGAAGTATACAAATTCTCGATGGTCTGGACGCGTTGGAGAACATTTCGATGTAAGCAAGCCCAAATTAGAGATCTCTCTACTCTGGCAACGTCGGACTGAGCATTGAGTCAGCCGGGGTTGATGAGGGCCTTTGTTTGATGGATGCTTTGTGCCGGTATCTCGTGAATGACGGAGTTCGAAGCTTTGCCGTATCACGTGCCTATGTTCCGGGAATAAAATAGCACTGAACAGATCCCGAATACATAGTCTCATCTGCCTTCGCATTCATTGTCACGGAGTCGATCAGTTCCGCAGAGATCGTTAGGACTTACTGCATCCGGCGATGAGAGGCTCACTTCCACGTAAGATGGAGGCGGTAAACCATTTTACTAATCTACTGGGCTGGAACACGGATTCGGAACATTTCACGTGCCACTTTATTGACGAACTGATGTAATCTAAAGTTACTAATACATCGAATATGATAGGTTGTTCATTTCCGGTAGCCAAAGCATGCTTTAATGAGATATCTTAGATGAATGACACAAATTGAGAGTAAGACACCAGAAATTGATTAGAGTTCACTTTTGCTCCTGGTATTCTCGGCAACAATATACGAAGAGGTATCTATAGTAATACAAAAAAGAAAAAAAACTGAAATCCGAACACCCTCATTCCTGTATCAATACTCCCGGATATCGTCGTCACGTCGTTAAAACAAGCACCTCAAATCACCGACCAGGCCGTCAGCGGCAACCCAACCTCTGTGCATCACACTATTTTCGTCGTCGGATCCGCATTCACATCCGTCGTAGTCTTTCCCTTCAAATAACTCCCAAAAAGCTCAGGCTCCTTGGCCGGCGGCATGTCACGGAGCGACGCCGGCACAGTTTCCACGTCCGTCGTCGTCTTGCCCTTGAGATAACTCCCAAAAATATCCGTCTGCTGCTGGTACTGCTCAATAAGCCCCTCCGTATCCAGCACGGGACTCTGCTGCGAAAAGGAAAAGGAACCGTTACTGCCTGCGCCACCGGTGGATAGCTCGAGGCACTCGTCGTCGTCGCGACTCCGCGTCGTCTCGACTGTTTCCGTGGTGACTTTGACCTCGTGCGTGACAAAGATCATGCCCATGCTGTTTTGGAGGACGGGCCAGAAGACGGGGAGGGAGGCGCAGATGGCGGCAATGTCGATCTCGAGAATAGAGAGGGCCATGGGACCTGGGGCGGCCCAGGTTGGGTCGAAGGTTGGGTAGGTTCCGGCGCGGGAGCGGACTAGGGATACGAGCCGCCAGGCAGAGAGCATCAGGACTCTATCATGCCGTTAGTCAGTAAATGAGGAAAGTGATGGTATCATTGTGTTCGGAAGCTATTCTAGATGAGAACTTACAGACTGCCCAGCAAAAAGAGACCGAGAACGGTCTTACGGGACCTCTTGTTGGCCTCGGTGTTGAAGTATAGCGGTAAAGGAATAGCAAAGATGATGAAGTCAAGAATCATGTTGCTCGTGGCGTGTGCCTCATATGTCCGTATCAATTCCTCCGCAACCTGCGTTCCGAAACCCCAGCGTCCGCGGGTGGGTATTGACCAGTCCCAGTAAGCTGCGACGGGAATGCATGGTACCCAGGCGAGAAACATGAAGGCGGCTCCCCACATTGCCACGAGGCAGATCATGATTATGGTGAGGATTCGTGATTTTGAACCACGCTCAAATATCCGTAGGTACTGGAGCAGGATGGCAACCTTGATTAATGACGTTGAGATCGGTAATGTGCCGTTGCAGATGTAGAAGATCTAGTACTAGGCGGTTAGACTGAGTTATTGATTACAAGGGGGAGGTTGGTTACCTTCATGAACTGAATGAACCTATCATACTGTATGAACAATATATGATCTCCGAGTCCATAGTCCATGCCTTATTCAATAATTAGCACGTGCTGTGGACTAAGCAGGCAGGAGAAGATGCAGGATGTTCTGACATACATATGCAAGTGCCAATACTTCCAACTGAGATTGAGATCATAACGAGCACCAAAAAGAAGTCATCCCATCCTACTGCTCGAACAATAAAGATGCGGGTCCATATTCGCATGCCAGCACATAGCAGTGCTAGTATCTGCATAACACATATTAGGATGATGTTCTGAGACAGCATAGCGTAAATATGCCCAGTACCAAGGAAGAGGAACCTACCAGGAATGATATCACGATGCCAAGCATAACCGGTTTTTGATTCAACGCAGGTCTTGGGTCGTTAAGGTTATTCACCTTGCCAACCAATTCCATAAAAGACGTCATGATGGAGGGTATACGAGTCCCAGTAAAGGGATATTCGTAACAACTGATTGGCTAAAACCACCTGCACATGAGGTTCCCGGGTCGAAATAGCCACGAGGTCGTCGTCGTTATCGCCGTCGTCGTTTGTCGAAAGGATGAGTCTGTGGGGGCGCCGGGGGGGGGGGGGGGGCTTGCAGACAGAAGAATCGACCAGGAACAAGAGAAACCCATGTGGAACAACCCTCCAAAGGGGGCACTGCTGAGACCTTATGGGAACAAAAGCACTGGAAGCATCCGGTGTGGCTTTCGAAGAACAGTCAACCAGTAGAGCAAATCAAACACATGGCGCGCCGCCGCCTCTTTGCTGGACCCGTGGGACGTGTGGCTCGTCACACGGCAACGTCGAACCTCGCGGCCGGCAAATGCTCTCCTACGAATTTACCACAACACCCGTCCGGGAAGGCCTTCCTTCCAGTTCCTCAACCTAAACGAACCAGGACGCTCTCGAACTTGGTCTTTCCGGCTCCGTCACCCCACCTCACGAATGATTGACAGCCCTAATGCCTTCTGACGGGCGCATTCACGCGGGAAAGAAAAGGGGAAACCACCGTGCTCGCCATGGTCCCAAAGCTCCGGTTCATGTTAGCGTCCGCCTCTCATGTCTCTAGCGCCTCCTGCCCACCAGTCTGCCTGCCCTCTCGCAAAGGTGGCTTGCCGCGAGGCTTGAGTCCGTTGCGCGTAGCTGGAGCGGCAATGAGTGAAGAGACTGAGAGGTTCGACGCATGCGGGGATTTGAGTGGCGGCGTGGATTAACCGACCCAGCCGCGTTGGGATAAGTCTATGTTAAAAACGCCGCGGTTGTGTGTCGTGCTCGATTGGGGAACCATCATGTCTTGGTTTGGCAAAACAGAACCCCTATCGAAGGTTTGGATGCGAGGCCCAAGAATTAGCAAGAATTCTTTTCTTTCTTCTTCTTTCATTCTGTTTCCTGGGCAGAAAAAAGACGTTGAGAATTATTCTGCAAGGGCTTTGAGAAATAAGAGGACTTTTTTCTTGCTGGAACCGCCGATCTCGTTAACCGTTTTCAGTCAGCCTTGGGTCCTTTTCCTCAAGCCTTTTTGCCGATTGTGGCTGGAACGAGGAAAGGCCTGGATGACGGAACGCAAGCAAATGGCCTGATAAACCATCCTTCGCGCCCTGATCAACTGTCTTACATCGCTATTACCCATCGTTTCTGGGCAAGAGCTCTCTTACTTTTACTTTCTTTTATCCCTCCTAGTTTCTCTATGAACCGTTTTCCTTATTGTTCACCGTAGTCAATAACAACCCCCCCCTTGCTCGTGTGGCTTGCCCACTCTCCCCCCTTTCACATCCCTCCTACCTCACTTGCCGTGGTACCCAGGCACACCAGGAAATCCTTTGAGCTCGACTGCCGTCGAGAAATGTGGCGTATAGTTCTTCAAGAAAGCAGTCCGAGCGCCCCGCTATTACGCGTAGGATCGACAACAGACTCGTTCCTTATTCTTCCCGTGTGCCTGGGTCGTCTCTAGGGGTTTCGCAAGTGAGCTCGCGTAGGAGGCCAAGCATCAAATTGGCTGCTCTAGTCTGCATGCTATGCAAATTTTCCCACCTGTTTACGATAAACGTGGGAAGCACGGATCAATAAAGCGTCATCTAGACTTGATTCCTTCCACGCCACTTTATTTCCATCAGGGATGCTGTGAACTAGAAGAGCTCGCGGAAGCAGGTCCGTGTATCCCGGTGGGATGGTGGGATAATTAATCCCTTGCTCCCCTTGCCTTTGTCTCGGGATCTTCACCTAAAGAACACATGGATTCATCATAAGGGGACTTGATCGAGCAATCCACAACTCAATGCGACGATCAGAAACAGCTGGTGGTCACTGAAGACTGTTTCCATGCCTTCTTTATCATTTAGTTTCTTCATTTATGGTTCTATCATATGCTCATAATACACGGTCCCTCCTTGCCATCCCTGTCAGGCCAGATCCGATTGCCGAACTTCTTTGCCCTGGGCCTGGAATGTAAGCTAAAAATGACTTGCAGCCTCTGACGCACCCAGGGACCACACTCATCCTAGCAGAAAGACTGTCAATCTCTGCAAGCATGTGGTGCACACGTTGTCTTCAAGACAAGGCGCACACATTTTGACCGTTTCACCAACAACTAACATCTACCTAACTTGAGCAAGCCCACTCAGCTGGAACCAGCAAGCTCCTCCTCAAGCTTGTTCAACTCATCCATCAAAGCGTGCACAGTCTTCTTCTGGTCCTCGCTGGCCTCAACATACGGGCTCCGCGGCGCGAACAGCTTCTCCTGGCCCTTCAACCCGGCCCGCGGCGCCGTATACACGGACGCGGCGTACTTGATGGTCGCAATACCCGCCTTGGTCGCCTGCTCCGCAAGGGCGGCCTTTTGGTGCAGCTCGACGGCCTCCTTGAGCTTGCC